TCAGGTGACTCTCCTAAGCCTTATCTGGGAGTTCTCAAAACATGATTGTCCTGGGGCCTAGGATCAAAGTGTCGAATGTGTTCAACATAGAACCAAAGCTCGTGCATTCCCTTCATTAACCATGATTGAGAAGCTCACCCGTGGCATGGATTCTGTTTTGGATTTCGATCCAGGGATCTGTTTCCTGTTGATTACAGCATGCAAAACATGGCGTACTTCACACAGACATATGTTCCCTAACGGATTCCGTTAAGGCAGTGGTTTTCAAATCTCACTTTGTCCCCTGCCCCCAGGCCTCCCTCCAGGAGACATTTGGCAATGTGTGGAGTCGTTTCTGATAGTTACAATTGGAAGGGAAGCTACCAACATATGGTGGGTAGAGACCAGGGAGGAAGCCAAACATCCTACAATGCACAGGACAGCCCTCGCAGCAAAGTGTGATGGCACCCAAATGTTAATGGCACCAAGGCTGGCAAGCCCTGGCTGGAATGACACTCCTGAGAACTAGGCTCTGACTCTGTGTGTGGTGCTTTCCAAGATGTATGAAATAGAAAAGAATAAGTTAAAAGCAATAAGGTGGCTGTGGATTTTGCCCTGCCTACGATTTAGAGATTAAGATGCACAGCCTGTCTCTAAAATAGAACAATTCCATTTGAGGAGGTTTCCTAGGCAGAGCCCAGACCTGGATCGATGAATCAAATCACCTATGGAAATCTTCGAACACAAGGCATTTAGCATGGAACTGAAAAGACCCTTGAGTGAGAAAAGGAGTTTTGGTGAGTCCAAAACCGTATTTGTTTTTCGCAATGAAAATGTTGATGTCACTTATTCTAAGATCATAACTATTTGGATAAAGATATTCATTTGAAATGCAGGTGAAATGTAAATTGCTAGTTTTTTACACAGACAATTGGTGTATTTATACTTAATCCATAAAGGCATGATGTTACAAAACACATTTGTATATTGTGAAGCCATCCAGCATCAAAGTTTCCGATTTATAGACAACTTTGTATTTACATAACAAATCAGTAAATCAATCATTCTTCTTCCAATTTATAAAAGGTCACTGAAGTACACACACAGTGTGTATAAAAGCAGGTAAGGCTGATAATACATATTTACAGTAGATACAAATTAATCTTTCATATTTAAGAAAATGATTTTTGTATATTTTTTCTCCCTCAAACTCCCTACTCTTAGCAGGATATCCCATGCTGGAATTGTTTATTGCTTTTTGGCTCACTGATTTAATAATCACTAGGGTTTTTTATACACATGAATTACTAATGTTGTTATCTCTTTGGCTAATGCAAATGTGATAGAGAATGAATGAAATAAACTAATTCAATATTACAGTTCTTAATATCAGGTTGATATTAATTGGTCATAGCCCCCACATCAATAAACTATTGCATAACTCATTTTATACATGACAGTGACAATGTCTTGAGTCTTGGGTTACACTATTTGGGCATAAATGGGCAACGTAAACAAGATTTCAGATTTTCAGGAAGGTCTAGAATCCTTGGCTTTTTTTTTTTTTTTTTTTTTCCCCACAAAGAGCAATGTCATCAGGATCTTAAGCATCTTAGATTTTAAAATCTCAATGCAGAATGGCCTGTGACTCACACTGCACGGACGATTACCAAAGCTCACTGCAAGGTGTTATCACCCTCAGGAATGAAAAAGGAAATCGCCTCATAGGATAAATCAGTTGAGAATCTTCATAAAACTTAACAAAAAACAAAATAACTGCCCTCTGCTCCTCCCACAATTTTGCTGTATGTTCAAAAAAGAAGGTAGTGATTACTTAAAAAACAAAACAAAACAACAACAACAAAAAACAGACACAGCAAATAACTCCAAGTCAGGGTCTAATTAAAAGACTAAAAGTGGCCTCTGATATCACAAGGGATGAGTATTCTTCTTAAAGCATTGATGTTCACAGAATTGAAATGTTCCTTTAAATTAAAAATAAAAATCCCGATTGCTTTTAATGCCACAAACAAGACAAATCAAACAAGAGCTGCTTTGTTAATTTTCACTCGTTGGAAATAATCTCTGGAAGCTACATGAAGGTGTAGTTTATTCTCCTTGTGCTTCCTAAGACTGTGAGGGGAACAGAATAAAGTTAGGTTGCCTTTTCCCAGGGGAGCTATTAAGTTCTTAAAAGGAGCAAAAAATTTTCATTCAATTTCTATTCTAGGATATATTGGGGGGGGGAGTTTACTTTAGGGAATAAAAAATGTACTAAGGTAGAAAGGCTAGCCTTCATTTTTAAAAAATGAATTGGCTTTAATGCAAAGAGAAAGAAATGGCTCTATGGGCAAAATTTAAGGATGGTGACCAATTTTTTAATTGTAAAGTAGGTGCAACATTTAAAAAAATGTTACAGCACTGCATGACCTGTCATGCCAACAATATTTACATCAACTGCTTACATGAAATCATATAACTGTAAAAGAGAAAGGGAAAAAACCAAAAACAAACCCCGGGCAGACCGAAACAGCAACACCTAGCACGCACATCAAAGCTGTGAGCAGCCAACGAAATCATGGGTGCAAACATACTTTACATGGTCTGGGGATGTAAAGTATACATGGATAGGGGAAGCACAAACCCAGTTAGTTTAAAATCTGAAAAGAAGGCCTGGTTGACACAAACACAGTCTGAATTCAAAAAAGCAAAGGCTGAAAAAACTTGTCCATATCAACACACACACACACACACACACACACACACACACACACACACTCACTCACGCTAACCCAGACAGACACAGACATAGGCACCTATCTGTGAATAAAATCAATCATATAAACAAAATAGTAGAAAAGCAGGAAAAGCAGGTTGGTGCACAAAAAATGGACAATATTAATGGTTGAAACTCACTGGACACATCAACTAATTACAGAAATGTGCCAATTCAACCACACAGAAGATGACTTGAGGACTCGGGAAAGGCAAAGCGAACCTGCCCCGGAAGGAAGGGTCCCTCCCTCCAGGCCAGTGAGCCCAGTGTGGCCAATTGCATTCTATCAGGCTTGGGGGCAGGGCTGAGGATGGGCGTGGAAAGGACACAGAGACACAGGAGACCTGGGGGAAGAAGAGCTGCTGATATTACAGACAGCCCAGGGCCAGTGCTCTGTGCTGTGGCCCCAGGAAACCAGTTGGAGGAATGACCTTGGGATCTTTTTGTCCTGAGTTACTGGAACTCTGCTACATCATGGGATTGAGGAGTTTGGGGGATGGATGGGAGAGGAGGAAAGGTGGTGGGCATTTTGGGGTCAGAGTGAGCTACTGGAGGGCCTCCCAGCACCCCAGTCACTAGGCTGCTGAGTGAGCCCAGGGCTAGGGGAACAAGGCCTCGCTCCCCAGGGGAGTAAGAATGTGGGGGTGGGGCTGGTCGTAGAAAAAATAAAGGAATAATGAACTTTTTTTGACAATACATCAACAGAGGCCTGGCTGGAGGCCTGAAAATTTGTTCAATTGCCTGGGAGATAGGGTTATACTACCACCACAAAAACTGGGGGAGGAAAAAAAGACAGAAAATTAGGTTGTGCTACATTTCTTATTAATTACCTTGTACTTTACAATGGCTCATAGTTTTAGGCTTGTATACTTGCAATGTAGTATTTTCTTTCTACATTTGTTTCAAATTTGTTTCTTATTTAATATAATATAAATAATTTGGTTAATAGACTTAACCTGCACATTTCAGCCACATTAATATATATATATATATTTATATAAGAATCTGTTAATGGTATAAATAATTCTTTAAATAAAATAAATCTGATATGTTACATAATACTGATAAAAAATTACCATTGCTAATAACTTTGAAAGCCACCTTAGCTTGCGGATTAAGTAATACTGATAAATGGATGGATACATGAAACTTGCTTTAATGATTCATATTTCTTTTTGCCCCCAAAGGAAAACTGAATTATAACCAACCTTCCCGCTGATGGTGATTTCAAAGTGGGGCTTTTGCCTCCATGTACAGGAACAGAAGAAAGTTTTCACCTTGTCAGGTATTGTTTGCAAAGAAACTTAGCTCTGAGCCTCAAGGTGGTGCAGCGTAAAAGCAACCTAGTTCCATCGGTGGCTATCATACTTTACCTACAGAAATGACCGCGTAAAATATTCCCTCTAAGATTTTTTTTTTTATATATAAAACCTATTCTACTTTAAAACTTAGGTAAAAAAAATATGCAACAAATGGTTGCAGCTTCTGAATTCTTAATTTAGACCTGTGAGCCCTCAACCGTTTAGAAATCCACCAGGTTTCAACTTCCTAGACACCCGAGGTCAAGTCCAGTGCTTCCAGGCCAGGTGCATCCAAACAGACAATATAAATGGACACTCAGTGGTGCGCAGTGTATGTCATAATTCAGGAGATACACATCGTCATGCCTTTTCTCTGCTGTTAAATACAAAAACAGCATCTTTTACATTATCATAGAAAAGCATTTAGGTTGTATTTTTATTTATCACTTTACACTGGTAGTCTCTGGTAGGTGTACTCCATAGAAACCAAAGAATTTTGTACACTATTTCTTTGTACAATAAAAGATAAAGTGTGCATTAAGTACGCTTGTACATGACAATATTGTACAATATTTACATTTCTGATATCACCATGAAATTCTGTATCTTCTATATACAACATTGAAAATTCTTCAGAAACATTTGGACTACTTCATATAATCACAATTTTAGTGTTCTAGAAAAAAAAAAAAAAGAGTTTCTCAGTCATCTCTTGACCATTTATCACGCTCATCACTCAGGGATTTTGATTGGTTTTTCCAGCATTCATTTTCCTTCCTGATCAAAAAAAATACTGTATCACTGTGTTTCTTTTAGCACCCTGTGGTGGTAGCTCTCTGCCATCGTATAAATATTGATATAACAGTGGCTATATCAATACCTATATACACATCTATCTGAGCGCGTTCCTTTCACAAACACTGTGCGTGGTGGAGTAGTCCCTGTTATCTGGAGATCTTCCTCCTCTTGGGTTTGGGGGGCCTCATTTGTCGGTCTCCATGTGGGATTTGGTGAACCTGGAAAAAAAAAAGGTGGGAAGACAACAACAGAAGTTGAAATAATAAATACCATCTGATTCCTGACAAAGCATCGTAGGAAACAGACTTCCATTTTTAATCACTGCTATTGTAGGGTGTTTAGAACATTTGCCAGGACCCTAGATCTCAATGTGTCCTGGTCACTACAGAATATGAGGAGCCCTAGAAGCTGAGAGGCAGAGCAGCACGCTGTGGACCCCACAACAGTGGGACATAAAGGAGGAACCGGGAAACTCAAGCGCGGGAAAGGCGGTGTGCAGCTGCCACAGCTGTTGTACGTTTCTGATGGAAACAAGTTCTTTCCTGTCAGAGAGCCCTCGGTCATCAATGCCACCAGGATCTGGAAAGTGGATGAATACACACCCCAACCATGTTTTCTTCTTCACTCACCACCCTACTTATTTTACAACCACTAAGAAGGGTAAAACATTGTAAGAACCTTGGCCCAAAAAGTTTATTTATAAGAGTGAGGATGGAAAATAGAACACCACTACCATCTGTTGGCAGAGTTGAGCTTACGTAGCCTGGGAAGAGCAATTAATACAAGTCCTCTTTATAAACAAACACAGAAACTAGCAGGATTCAGGGCCATGTATCAGACTGAGCAGGGGTGAATCAAACGAGGAGCATGATTGCCAGGTGTCAGAAAGCAGATGGAGTGGTTTTGAGAGGAAAAGTGTCAGAAAGGTGATCAGGTGCCCTATGTTGAATTGTGGCTACTGATGAGAGAGGGCAAAGTCAAGATGCAGGAAAGGCAGGATGGACCCAAGGCAGTGGCGTAGCAAAATGATTAACAACCAACTAGCTACCTGTGCAAGGACACAAATACATGGTAGCACATGCCAATTTCTGCAGTGTAAATACTTCCACATGGTCAATTTCAAGCTACCAATGTGATGTCACAGAACTAAGAGTTAGAAAGAGATGTACACAATCAGCTCTTGAGATACACAACAAGTTGGCTCTATTGTATGTTTTAAAAAATAACATTTACATAATAGCAAAGGTCAATGCTATTCAGGGTCAAATGCAGAAGACTTCTTAAAAAATAATATTTAAATTTTAAAAATAGCATTTATGCATTTTTTTCAAAATGCCTCTTCCTCTTAACCCTTTCCTATATATTAAAAAAAAAATCATAGCCTCTGATAAGGGGTTATAACTGAAATCTTTTTATAATCAAGGAAAGCCATTATTCAAGAATATAAACTAGTAACCCATGAAAAGGTATTTTGTTTAGCCATATGATGTTTTACTATTTCAAAAATAGTTGTCAACACTAAAAGGAGAGAAAGAGGAAAGGGGAGAAGGAGAAGGAGAGGGAGAAGGAGAAGGAGAGGAGGAGAGAGGGGAAGAGAGAAAGAGAGAGAGAAATTTTATTTCTAGACTTCTAGCATCTCACAAAAACAAGGAGCCCCTCTTGCAGGGGACTCAGGCTTTAGCTGCCACAGTCCCCGGGCCACAGAGGCCAGCGTCCTGAGGCAGGCACTAGTGAGATACTTGCTAAACCCATTTTCTCTTCTTCCTGAGAAGACACCTTGTATAAGGCATGTCCTTGTCCATGAGTTCAGAAGGCCACGTGAGCCCCAGCTGTGCATAGCGCGTCAGCCTGCGGACTGAAGGGTCCCAGGTTCAATTCAGGTCAAGGGCACATGCCTGGGTTGTGGGCTCGATCCCTAGCTGCAGAGGGCAGCTGAACAATGATTACCTCTCATGATTGATGTTTCTATCTCTCTTTCCCTCTCTCTTCCTCTCTGGAATCAATAGAAATATGTTTAAAAAATTTTTTTTTAAAAAAAGGCCACAGGATTGGGTCAGGCCCAGAGAGTCAGCAGGAGTGTTACCTGCTGGGCCTGGCCTGTCAAACCTATCCAGCTGGTGCTCCGTGTGCACTCTCTTCTCTAGGCTGTTGGGCTCGACGGTTATCATGGAGCACCCTGAGGCTCTAAGGAACAGTGTGTGCTAAAGAACCTGTGCCCCTGAAAACCTGTGTGGGGTGAGACCTTCCCCAGTCGGAACCAGGAGGGAGTGAGCAGTCACTGCAGAGCCTCTAAGACTGGCAGTGGCAGGCAGCCTGGTCTCACCAGCGCCTCTGTGTGGGCACATCTCAGTCCACGCAAATTGCTGTTTTCCTCACATCTGACTCACCTTACCTATGGATGGTATGTGCTTGGTCCTAGGAGGCATTTGAGTATGTAATCCTAGTTCCAGACTTTTCTGTCACTCTGCCGGGAAAATTAACATCGCAGGGCCTCAGGGTGCCCATCTGTGAAATGATGGGTTTGGTCACAGAGTCTCTAAAGACCCCACCCGTCCCAGCATTCTGTGAGTCTATGACATACACCTGTCACACAACAGCCACTGGATAGCTCTCAGATAACCGTGTTAGCACAAAGTGTCAAGGAAAAGGAAAAGGAAGAGAAATAACTTTTCATAGCTTTAGATACATCACATATTTAAAACGATTACCAAAATGATACTTGAAGGACAATGATTAAATTGCTTACATCTAACGCTGTTATATGCACTGTTCAATAAAGGAAAGAAAAAGTAGATACTACTTCTCTAAAACCAAAGATTATGGTGTTAATTAGCTTAACAACAAGAGTTTTGTGCCAAATATTTTATTTTTTAGCTAACAGTGGAAAGGAAATGAGAGGTCTGTGAACTGTTGATCTTGACCCTGTTGTTCAATTTCACTTTTTTGTCCTATGGACAAAATTTGTATCAGTGGCCGAAACCGGTTTGGCTCAATGGATAGAGCGTCGGCCTGTGGAAATGAAAGGTTCCAGGTTCTATTCCCGTCAAGGGCATGTACCTTAGTTGCGGGCACATCCCCAGTAGGGGGTGTGCAAGAGGCAGCTTATCTATGCTTCTCTCTCATCAATATTTCTAACTCTCTATCCCCCTCTCTTCCTCTCTCTGTAAAAAAATCAATAAAATATATTTTAAAATAAATAAATTAGGCTTTTAAAAAAATTTGTATCAGTGAATATTTAGGCAACATTAATGGCCACGCTATTCAGAATCCAATGCAGAAAACTGTGGTTTGAATTCAATATTTTGTTGCTCATATTTTTTAAAAACGCTATATGCTGGGGGTGGGAGGTGGTGGTGGGGGAGAAGTTACCTATACAGAAAAAGACATAGCTAGTACTGGTAGGCTATTTTTTCTTAAATTACTTTTGGATCTATTCTGATATCAGTCTTCTTTAGAGCCTAGAAATTTAGTATTTCTACATGAGTTGCTTGACCATATTTTAGAGACTACAGCAAAAAAGTGTAATACAATTTATTTTCAAAGAAACACAGTATAATGGAAAAACAAATTAACTTACAGTCCCAGACATTTTGTCCAGTTCACTCATGGCCTCATGAATAGCAGCTTCTAAATGGTTATTTAACTTTCCACTTCTGGAATTAATGAAAACAACACATCAGATTAATAAATTAAAGAAACAAAGCAGCAGTTTAATTCCCTCATCAGAAAACAGAAATACCAATTCCACCAGAGAAAAATCAACTTATCGTCACATTTGGAAAATTCACATGACAACACACTCTGGAATTGTCTCCACTGAAGGCTGGTGATAAAATAGCAGATCTATTTTTATTTATTTATTTATTTATTTATTTATTTATTTATTTATTTATTTATTTATTTATTGCGGGGGGGGGGGGAGGGAATTGAACATAGATTGGGGAAAACAGATTCTTTCCCCTTGCTTATGCTTCTTCCACATCTGATCATTTTGCAAAGAATGTGGGCCACGGGTCTCTTTCCCGCAGACGCTGCTCGTCTTCCCGCCTGTCCTGCGTGCCTTGTGGGTCTGGCTTGTTTCTTTTCCGGCAGCAGCCAGGCATGTGGCCAAAGGGAAGGGCGGAGGGCTGAACTGCGGGCTCTGGCCACTAGGGAGCTCCCTCTCCCTTCTCTGGAGCTCCTGGCTTCAGAGGCAGTGAAGGAAGGCTGATAGCCAGATAGGAACCGGCTGCGTTAGAACTCGCCACACCCAAGGCGCCCTCCATGCGCGCCCCCCTTCCCCCCCCCCCCCCAAAAAAAAAAAAAACAATACACAAAACACCCAAATGGAATAACTGTTTGAACAGATTAAGACTGACAGTCTCAGAATGTCTATCACTTGCCTGACCTTTCCTCCCCATTCAGCATTCTTTTACGCATGTTTACGCATGTTTGAATAACGCCCAGGGCACATCTGTCTTGATGGAAACGCACATCGAGGAAGCTGTTGGACTAGTTACTAAACGCAGGCAAATCCATACTAGCTGTCTCTGCAGTCACGGACCCTTTGTCCATTCCGTTAACCTGTTTCCCCTGCTCTGTGCGTATAAATAATTACCCAGTTATTCTGAGTAAGGTGATCCATTTCACTTATCTTCCCAGGACAACTATGAGAAAAGCTGCAGAGCTTTCCACGGGTTAAACTGTATCTCAGCATCTACAGGGAGACCAGAGATTTACAGACGCTTACTTCCACTAAATCTGGCTCGCAGCCCGTGTAAAACGCATTTGCCTTTAGATGAGCCCTTTCGGCTCACCGCACTCCTCGCCAGGTTTTATCCTCCAGTCCAGGGCTGACCATTCATACACCCAGTCTCTGGGTATTCCTGGAAGAACTCCGAGTCTTCCATCCCTCAGTAGCACAGAGCGGGGCACATCATGATGCCTATGTTTACTAAATAAAAGATGTGTCCCAAGGTAGCATGCTGGCCCTATGTTTCGGAAAACATATAGTATGCACTTAAGTCAGTTTAACTGAAAGGAAAGATGAATGCATTGGCTGTAACCACATTATAAGGCTAATGTAACACCAAACCTCTCCCATCCACCTTTTGCTGACCTGTAAGCTAGCCTCCAGCTTTTATATTTTCCCCGTGTGCTTTTAGAAATCTGAACAATCCAGAAAAATGCATAAAATAAATGACCGACTCCTAACAAACCCATTTCCAAGAATAAACTGTTAACACATGACATATTTAAGTCCTTTTTTAAAAAAAAAAAATTGAAGTTGACATTCCCATTTTTCATCAATTCCCAGGCTTATTCTCCTCTCAAAGGCAATTGTCTTCCTTCTAGAATGTGTTCACATTTTATGATTATTCATAAACAGTACCTAGGATTGTGTTATCAGCTTTTAAATATATATATATTTATATATTTATATTTATATATTTATACACCATTCTGCAACTTATTTCCCTCCCCACACACTTATTACTGTTTTTGAGCACTGTCCATATGACCTATTATACACTGTTTCTATTTACCTACCCATTCTGGTTTTAAGAGGGCTGGGGTATCATCCTGGGGAGTCAGTCTGCCCTCTTTTCCCAGTGAGGAGTTGGCTAGGCAGAATTCTGGGTGACTCGGCAGGAAGCCAGTCCCAGGACTGCAGGGCCACCTACCCTTGGCTGAGGTTCTTGTGGGCTGTTTGGAGAAGGTCTTGATAGTTGCCCAATACTATTACACCTTGTGTTATATGCTAAATAGATTTATCCTTACTATTTTTTTGTATTGAAAAGTATGAACATACGTTTTAAAATATATTTCTTTGTTACACAATTCGATTATAAGATCTTATGGGTTTAAAATTGACTATACGAAGTTCTAACTATCTAAAAGATGGTAAAAAGTTTCCATGAAAAATCATCAGAGAATCTTGTTTCTATCACCTTTACCTTAACAAAAATAACTATTTATGGAAAATTTTCTGTGCCAAGAATTGTATTAAATCTTTATATCATTATCTTATTTAACCCATACAACAATCCTAAAAGGTAGGTATTATGACAAATTTTGCATGCAATACCTTATTACATTTTTAGGGGGAACTGGTGAACCAATTTTAATTTTGTAACGAGGAAGATGAAAATTTAAGTATAAATAGTTTTAAAAGTAATAAACAGAGTCATAAAAACTTTATGTAACTAATGAAAATTACAGTGGCTGCACTAATCTACATTCCCACCAGCAGTGAGTGAGGGTTCCCTTTTCTCCACCACCTCTCCAACTCTTGTTATTACTGTTCTTGTTGAGAAGAGCCATCGACATGGACAGACCTCGAGAATGTTATGCTAAATGAAATAAGCCAGTCAGAAAAAAGCTAAGAACCATATGCTTTCACTCATGTGGGATATAAAACTGACACACAGACACAAATAGCAGTGTGGTTGGTGGTTGCCAGGGGGAAGGGGGAGAGGGTGGGGGATGAAGGAAGCCTAATATATGATGATGAAAGATTTGACTTTGGGTGGTGGGCATATAGTGCAATATGCAGATCTTGAATATACTGAACTCTATAGCTAAAACCTATGGGATCCTACTAACCAATGTCACCCCAATAAGTTTAATTTAAAAAATGTCAATAACATCTCCATTAAAGAAGATAAATCATTTAATATTACCTGTTAAATGAAAAGCTAGAATTTTAGGGGATTGTGATCTCATTTTTCAACAAGATATTTAAAATGTTTGTAACTACCTCGTATTAATGTAAGCTAAATTAGTATAATATTGTTTTTCTTTAACAACCTTAAGTAGTTAATAGAGGAAGAAGTGAGTACTCTTGGAAGACAGGATAGATACAGAGATGAGGGACATGAAACTACTTGACTATATCATGAGGATCCGAGAATGATGTCCCCAATATCAAATCTCCAGACCAATTTTTACTCTCCCTTGTCAGGTAGGGGTAAAATGAGCTTAAAAGAGGAAGAAAAAACTCCAAGAGTTCCTGAAATGAACAATTAGAGAAAATTCAGCCCTCCAGTCCAGAGGGCCTCCCTGTGGTGTCTATTCTACTATTTTCTATACCCTGCTGACATTTAATAATAAACATTTTTACTAATGGACACTCTAAAACCTACTTGATTAAGCAATTGATGCTCATATAATCACATTTCTAGTTATTAATGGAGATAATTGCCACTTCTCATCTCCATTGCCTATATTGCCACACATTATCCTTTTCTTCACTAATTAAAAAAAAAAGCCAGGTACACATCTGTGAATGACACAAGAAATAAGAGGGAAATGAGAAATTGCATGGTGCTCTACACTGTCACGTTTACATTCTGGGCAACTTCATGCAGAACAGATTTGGAGAAATCTTAAAGGTTAAGAACCTTAGAGTCTAAAACATTATCATAGAGAAAGTATGAAGATTTAAGAAAATTTTACACACTAAGTATTATTTCTTGGTTTTAAACTAAAAGTATGATTTGTTTTATTACTTTATCATTTTCCAGCTTTGTAAAAATCAGGTTACCAAATAATTTATATGTATGTATAAGACAGGTATTTTAATCTTCACATAAATGAAAACCATAATAATCCTAAAAGCTATGGAATTTTTCTTGAACAAAGCTATTTCCTTTTTAAGTACAAAATGACCCGAGTAGTGTCATCAATAAATATGTTAATATTTCTTTTGCGGTTATGCTGTAATAAGCATGTAAGTTTAAAGGTATTTTATTGTACAATTTGTAGGTTGCTGAGGAATAAAGTAACTACATAAAGTTTTAAGCATTTAATACGGTGATAGAATATTTCAACTGCATAAATATCGGATGAAAGAAACAGAATTTCAACTCAGATAAAAAACCAACCGCTTCCCTATCTTGTTCAATACCATCTTCCCCTTGCAATCTCTTCCTCTGTTCTTTCCCCCCAGTCTACAAAAGCAGTCAAATCTTTGTAACCTTAAACATTTTTTATTGTTATTTTTCAGGAACTTCTCACATTAACGGTAGCAACCCATGGCCACTTTGTTTTTATAGCCACTACTCCAGTGGGAACCTGACCACTGGCCTCCAAACTGCCCAGTCAATGGAGATGTCTCAGTGTCTGTCTTACTGGGCCTCTGTTGAGCATTCTATCATCCCGAAACTTTTACCGTAGTCTTTGGCTTCTGACATCCTGCTCTCCTACTACTGATGACCCCCCTCCTTTCTGCCATTCTGCCCATCTTTCCAGTATTCTGTAGTAAGTTCAATGCCCCGGTGTTGAATCCGGCCAAGGTATTTCTCTGTGTTTGCGGCCATTTTTACAATGTCAAATACAACGTCCATTTCAGACCTGAGTGTCCAACCTATCCCACAGGCACCCACCCAGCACCCAGCAGTTCTCCCTGACTTCTCTATTCCGATCAGGGTTTCTGCCACCCACCCGGACATCCAAACCAAAACCTGGACAGGTGTTCTTGATTGCTTACTCTCCTTCACAGGCCAGTCAGTCACCATGATGCTTGTGAAGACTGCATTGTATTATAGTGGAAGCTGTGCTCCAAACATTATTTACTTGAACATTCTACATTTACTCAGAGTATAAAGATCTGGAAAAAAATAACGTCCCAAAGTTCAACTTCTTGTTACAATTTCAAAGAGTACTTACTACATCTGCCCCAAGGAAAAAAAAAATAATTCTTTGACTAATTTGCCAAACTGTAAATGGTAGACTTTTTGCTCTACTTTCAGAGACAATTTAATTGCTACATGTTGAGGATATTAATCATATTCCCTTGTCCACTGAATCAGAGGGATAGAGATGGAGGGAGTTAGGAAAGAGCCGATGCAGACCAAACTCTCCCTTCCCTCCCCGGTATAAATTGCTAAGAAAATATTTTCTGAAGCAACTAATTTGGTTTGTCTATAATGGGCCTCTTTGGTGATAACTATCACACGATTCTTAGGCAGCCTACAGGCTGAACAAAATCAGCGAGATTCCATTGTCCTTTTGAAGGAAAACCAGTAAATTATATCCTTAAAATACTAAGTGGGCCCGGCAGGTGTTGCTCAGTGGTTGAACGTCAACCTATGAACCGGGAGGTCCTGGTTTGATTCCCAGTCAGGGCACATTCCCCGGGTTGCAGGCTTGATCCCTAATGTGGGGTCTGCAGGAGGCAGCTGATCAATGATTCTGTCATCATTGATGCTTCTATCTCTCTCTCCCTCCTCTCCCTTTCTCTCTGAAATCAATAATAATAATAAAAAAATAATAAAGAAACAAACCCAAAGTTTATTACTAAAAAATGGGAAGAAAAAAAAACAACAGTAGAGCTTACTTTCTGTTTCTTTTCCGGGCTCGGCTGTAGGCTTCTAAACCTTCTGTTAGTGTCTTCAGCTTCTCGGGCTCCACCTGAGTGAAGGTATGAAGACCAGATCTCATTACCCAGACCTGCGATTGTTACCACTGCTTTCTCTCTCCTGCCACACAGCAGGCTCTGCACCGGGGAGGGGGAGGGAGGCCCAGCCCCGCCCTGCCCTGCCCAGGGTCCTGTCCTCCCCACAGAGCCTGGCCCAGGCTCCACGCTGCAAACAGCGGCAGAAACGAAAGACCGTTGGGCTTTTAAGTTGTCAACGTTTTTAAAAATGTTTTAAGAACAAAACTTGGAAGTTTAATAACCTTCAATTGGCAAAATGATATAAATCAGAGGTCCTGGTTTGCTTTCTTCATGGGCCTGCTATTCAGAAACTGCACATCTGTATCCCATCATGGAGGACAAGAGCAGTGGGGAGCGACGTAAGGAAAACAAATTTTCTGAGCCTCAGTTTCCTCCTCTTCAAAATGAGGACCATAATACCTACCTTCCTGCTAGAATGCTGTGAGATTCAAAAGGTGACAAGTCACGCTGAACAGTTAAGCAAGTATGAGCAGCTGTTACTACCCAGCATGCTGGGAGGCCCCACAGTCCTCACTGATGTGGGAAGAGGGTGTTGCTACACCTACGGCGGTCCCCTCCCCAGTCCTGCTCCAGCGGGACCAGCCTCTGCGAAGCCTCCCTCTCATCAAACAGGAGCTGGGGGTCGTGAGGGTGGGGAGGTGCCTCGGCCAATAATCTCTATCTCGGTTTTTGAAACCACCTCCCCTAAGAAAAACAATTAGTAAGTAGGAAAATTTGTATGTGACTTGTGAACTAAAACAACTTTAGAAAAACACTGCTACTTTTCTTGATCTTTAAAAATAAAAGGATACACTAAGTAAAAACAGTGTTACTTGGATAAACACAACTTCAAGGCAAATCCCCTGCCCATCCCTTAACCCAGTCCCCACACCCCCACCCTACCTTTATGTAAACATTCAGAGGTCGACAACATGCCTCATGAGTAAGAAAGTAAACACTAATACACGAGGGTATTATTGTTAACTTTTGTCTTTAAATCTTCCTGACCCCTGAATATTATTTACAAATGACTATTTTTTTTTGTCCCCTTCAAATTAAGTACGCAGTAATTAATGATCAATATAGTATTTGCACTGTCAAGTCTGAAAACAAGCATTTCTAAATATTCAGTGAGAGAAATAGTCAAATAGTGATGTTCGTATTTTGTCCTAAAGGATTCAAATATTTTATGTACACAAGTTCATTGGGGATAAGCAATCGATCATTGCCAGAACAAGAGATGACACTTCACAGGAGCCATGAAGAAAACATCTTATCGGAATGATTAGAAAACCTTAAATGAATACATCCATGAGTTGTTTTTTTGTTGTTGTTTTTTTTTGTTTTTTTAAATAGGTGCATGGATACATCTTCACATTTCGTGTTAGACATGAGGTTCCATGGTGTATTCACTCACACCAAGAGAATATGGAAGATATTTCACACATTGCATTTGTGTAATTTGTAGCTAATTCCACTTATATTTAAATGGCCTTCTTGGCAGCAGGAAGGAAGCTCTCCTGTAATAGAAACTTCTATTAGACACAAACTGGTCTAGGGAGAGACCTGAGAGGGATGGATGGATGCAGGCAACAGAGCAGGTTCACAGTGAAAGAAAGCAAGACACCGCAGTACAAATGTTCCCTATTCATCTTAATTAAATAGAAAACAATGCCAAGTTAGGCCAAACTATTTTTTAAAGTCTTCAATTTTTTTATTTTAATTAAATAAGGAATAAGGGGTAGTAAAGATATTTCTTGTGCATTTTTTATGTAAAAGGCACAGTTTATTAATGAATATGGTAATATTGAAAGCCAGTATTATTTTTGTTATTTTTCAGGTGGGACTCAGGAGTTTAAGTAACAGGGCCAGAACTGAAATTCATGTCTAACTGCAAAGCATTCAGCCTCCCTCTGCCATACCAACTCGGACAGACATTAAAACATACAGTCATTTTATATATAAGTAGAGGCCCAGTGCACGGATTCGTCCACCAGTGGGTCCCTTGGCCTGGCCTGCGCCTTCTCGTAATCCAGGACCCCTTAGGGGATGTTGGACTGCTGGTTTTGGCCTGATCCTGGCAGGCCTAGTATGCATATAAGATCTTTGGTTAATCTCTTTTTGCCCTATCCCCTCCCTTCTTCCCTCTGAGATTCATCAGTCTGTTCCATGTTTCCATGCCTGTGTATTGAGTGTCTGCTCCCTGGTGGTTAGTGTGCATATAGCTACCGGTAGAACAGTTGAATGGTCAAATGGTCACTTAGACTTTTATATCGATATATATTTTATATATAATATGCATACACACACACACACACACACAAACATAATAAAAAATTAAGTAAATTATTTAAAAGCAAGTTAAAATTTTATAGAAATTTAGACAATGCTGGCCCAAATTTGTTTTCAAAAATTTTCTATGCTTATATAATTTTCTGGTGATTTTCCTGAATTAATTCTCTACAAGACTTCTTCACTTAATTTTGCCTGGAAGGCCCAAAGGTACTCTTACAACAAACTATATTCTTTATAAAGGAGTCAATGAACTTGACAGAGAAAGCAATGATGGTGCTTTCTAAAACAAACTATAAACACCCATGTCTATGTATTTCTGATGTAACAGTATTATACATCTCCAGAGGTAAATATCTAGTTTATTTTGTTTGAAGAAAATTTAATAGAATTTTAGTACTCTACTGTATTGTGAATATGCTAGAGGCCCGATGCATGAAATTCATGCAAGACTAGGCCTTCCTTCCCCGGCTGCCGGCACCAGCTTCCCTCTGGCATCCGGGGCCTGGGCTTCCCTTGCAGCCCCAGCTTTGTCTGGATGGTCATCCAGAAAGACATCCAGAAGGATGTCCAGTCTAATTAGCATATTACACTTTTATTACTATAGATGAAGAGCATGTGCTCCTTCCAGGGAAATATTCATAAACTTCACAATATTCAAGAAGCTCTTTAAAGATACCACCCACTCAAATGGCATCAGAGATGAACAAAATAAATTCAATTTCTAGTCAAATAGAAATTATATTATTTAATAAACATTCCCTCATAAATTACCTGGCTAACTTGTAAATGAAAAAAATACTGGAAAATCAAATACATATATACTAGTATATTTAATATGTGTTTAAAGGTTAAACATATTTTATAAAACTGACCCTGAGGGAGCAGGAAATAACATACACAATACTCTTATTTATAATTATAATCTTACTAGAGGCCCGGGGCACAGATTCATGCACCAGTGGGATCTCTTGGCCTGGCCTGTGGGGATCTTGCTGAAAATGGCCCAGTGCACTGATTTGTGCACCAGTGGGGTCCCTCAGCCTGATGTGTGGGGATCAGGCTGAAATCGGCAGTCTGACATCCCCTGAGGGCTCCCAGATTGTGAGAGAATACAGTCCAGGCAAAGGGACCCCACCAGTGCACGAATCTGTGCACCAGGCCTCTAGCATGCATATAAGATCTTCGGTTAATCTCTTCCTGCCCTCTCTCCTCCCCGCTTCCCTCTGAGATTCATCATGTTTGTTCCATGTTTCCATGCCTGTGCATTGAGCGTCCTACCCCCTGGTGGTCAGTGTGTGTCATAGCTAGTCGTATGATCAGACAATTAAGATATTAAGCTTTTATACAGATAGATAGATAGATAGATAGATAGATAGATAGATAGATAGATAGATATTCCCGTACATTTACACACCAGGGGTTCCAAAAATTATTTCGGTCTTATCTTGATGTCAAATTGGGGGAAGACTTTATAATGCATCATTACTGCCCACATATTCTCATTCTAGTATGACAATGCTATTGTAAAGGCCAGCATGACATTTGTACATATATCATTTAAGAATTAGAAAAAGACATCCAGAATTTAAAAGGATTTACAATTCCCATATTACATCATATATAAATGCACACATATGTTCATTTTTTTTTTTTTACTCCTAAATTCCTTCTTTCACTCACGTTCTTTAGATATAGCAATTCTTTTATGTAAATAGTCCTAGAGCTGTTCAGTCAGGCTAGAAACATGTGCATAAAGCCAGACATTATTATACAGTGAAAGTTTGAGAGTTTTCTAAACAGTCTAAATCTCTGGTTGCTTCTTTTATTCACAAGGCACATATCAACACTTGGTAATTTAACTAAGTTTGATTTGGGGTCAGCACAGTAGCAGGTATGTATCTCAAGAGAAACTTAAAGTCTGTGACAAGTGAAGATACAAACCTTCCAGATAGCAAGCTGTCCCTCTGAAAGTGAGTTGCAGTAGAAACAGGGGAAACCTTGTAAGACAGAGAACTGCCACCTGCAAGCCAAGCTGACAGGTGAGGCCTCAGAAAGAACCAACCTTGCTGACATCTTCATCTCAGATTCCTAGTCTTCAGAACTGTCAGAAAATAAGTTTCTATTGTTTAAGCACTCCACCGCCTCAAGTTGAGGTATAGAATATATGAGAAGAACCGGGAACAAAAATCCCAGATCAGCCCTAGCTGTTTTTGCTCAGTGGCTAGAGCATTGGCTTGCAGGCTAAAGGGTCCAGGATTTGATTCCTGTCAAGGGTCCAGGATTCAATTCCCAGCAGGGGGCATGCAGGAAGCAACTGATCAATGATTCTCTCTCATCATTGATGTTTCTCTCTCTCCCTCTCCCTTTCTGAAATCAATAAAAATATATTTGGGGGAAAAAAAGTCCCAGATCACTTTTGGATAGAGCCAGTTAATTAGAGAATGTTAACAATCCTGAAACAGGATGAAATCTCTTGGTGATGACTTTGTGGCTACTTAGCGCTGAGGCAAAGCTGTCACACAGAGGTCAAACACAGAGCACAAGCCACATCACAGATTCCATAACCGAGATAGACAGCCGACCTCGAGTTCCCCTTCCTACCTCACCTCTCCAACCCATCTCTACAGTGTCAGCAGCTAATGTTGGGGGAAGGTTATCATGCCAAGTACTGCTTAGAGTT